TCAAATGTGGTTAAGATTTCGAGTGGAAGTAGAATTCGCAGCGCGTAAAAAGTGATCGGCCAAGGCCTGAATCTTCATCCTTCATCCTTTATCCTAGAATTTCTAGTGATTTTTTCATTCTTCCTCGTTCTAGACATTGTTCCGTTTTGACTGCATGCCTGCTGTTGACACCGCCAGTGCTACGAGGCCATTTTCGCCAAATGGAAGCTGCACAACGTGTCGGGTAAGTTGTCTATTTTGTCTCCGATGCCGTTTTTTTTTCGTTAAAGGTGCTTTTAGCGATTGCAATAATGTGAGTTATTGCACTCGAAAATGAAAGTCGAGTGTGAAAATTGGTCTGCTACTAACGAAGAGAGTACTGAAATAACTGAGAACCCTATGTTGCTCATCCGGTACTGTTCTAATACAAGGGCAGCTCTGTCTGTTCTGTAAGCTGCTACATGCTTTTGCTTTTGCTTTTTCCTTTGCTCCCTCAAACTGGTCGACCAATTTTGCCCTCTACCTTCACTTCGGGTGTAATAATCCATATCTAAGCAATCTCAGAATGTGCCTTTGATGTGCTAACTGGATACGATAGCCTTAGCGCAATGCTGAATACATCCTTGTGCGCTCTACAACTTTGGACAGGGGAAACTGGCCGATGAATGTTTCAATATTTGTCCAAAGCCTTCTAAATTGTCGGCAAAGCGCCGTGGTGAACGCAACTGCTTCCCGTATCCTCAATGAGTTCACTAAAAAATTTGGGCAGCGTTTATATTCCACGATTTGGGAGGCTTCGATATCCATCAGAAAAGATTAGATACATTGTTTAAGAGATGAGAAATTTCCATCGGGATCAATCAATACTTATTCAATCTTCTTGGGTTAATATTCTAACCTTCTAATATCCCAGTATCCTAACATTCTAACCTCGTGATCTGTTAGCCTCCATCGATTTCGATCGAAACTCGTCCCTCTTCTAAGTCTAGTATCCCATGCTCGTGGCCTCCTCATCTCTAAACTCGCGATCTTTCTATCATTGTGAAGCTATTTCATTGACTCGTTAGCTCCTAATATCCCATGCCGTTTGTTGAATTGGAAACGTGGAACTCCGCCTTAGTAACGTTAGGTCTGTCAACTTCTTGTTGAATTAAAACACCTAGTCAGAGGGTGCGTCAAAATCTCGCGCCGCACGCCGCGTACGAGCGCAGTGACACAACTATAATCGAAGGAGTTGATAAGCTCACCTACGTTAACACTTGTGTGAGCCAGCGTAGGTGTCTGTTTTCGTTTGAATCGCGTTCAAGCTAGTGAACTGGAAAAATCAGTCATGGTTGGGGTCAAGTCGGATCAGAATTGTCTTGAAGCTTATTTATTTAACTGAAAAGGTATCATTGAGAATAAATGGTGCAACCAATCCTGTGGCAGCATGTTTCAAAAGTGTTCTTGGACGGTAAAATTGATTTCTGCGTCTCCCAGATGCTTTCTCCCGCATCTGTAAACAGGACGACTGTGAGTTTCATTCGTAATGAAATTTATTCAGTCACTTTCAGTCATGGTACAAGCGTTGGTTGCTCGTGCAGACCATCTCCATATGGCGCGAACCGCCATGCGTCAACTGGTGTTATTATGCTCAACTTGCCTGCCCACATCTTGCCACATCGAAAGTAGTCGACTATGCAGGGCATCCTTCATTTCAGTGCAGAGGTCTTTCTATTTTTGTTTTCTTTGTGTCGTGATATGCGTTGTACAGCTCTTTAACTGTCGCTATGTTCGGAAGACGTCAAGGATTCTTTGTTGATATCTACTCACCCGTATTTGTAGGGATTTCCATAAGGTCCCGAATCTCCGTGACCTTTGTTCTTCGCAAACAATTTATCTCGCCGCATTTTTATCCCGTTCCAAGTGGACAATGTTACTCGAAAATTTTGCAATGTTATGTCTCATTTCTACGTATCGCGCTTGCGCTGCCTCTACGCATTACCTGCTAAAGCCATAAGTCCGAAAGTCACTTGACTCACCGTGGTACAGACCGTATATTCCTGTATTGTGATTAGTGTTTAACTTGGATTGTGACGTGCACCGCCGACTGAAGACTCGCGCTTCCAAGCATCGCTAGTATCCAGCGATGTCGGAAACAGCTTATCCACACGACTTCTATCAAGTGCGGCGACAACCACGTCAAGTCCACAGACACGCCTAATCAGACTTCCAGATATGTACTGTAAGCTTGTCTAAAGCGCATTCGCAGTCGGTTGTCCGATCGTAGCGATCGCATAAGCCGCGGTGCATAGGGGAGGCGACGCGGTAACCCAACACAAACCCAAACAACACGTGACCGCGCGTCATGGTATTTCGAAAGTCCGATTGTTCGAGTGTGAAGTAGAAGATTCGTATCAATCGTGCGACACGCGCGACCGTAACGATCGTAACGATCGCATTGGTCGCACGCCAGACGGTCGATACGTATCTAATGCTATGCAACCGTCACGATCGTTCAATCGGACGACCGACTATGCATTCGCCGTTAGACACTGCTCTTCGCGCCCCACTTTCTTTAGACTTTTGTAGGCGCTCAAAACATTGAACGTCAGCTTAAGTTTCTAAGTGCAATCCTCGATGTTTCAGATCAGGATATTCCATTACCACAGGAGCCAGAGGCACAACGGTGTGGTTGTGTGCATCCATGCGATCTTCGTGGTGTTGTAGAAGATGGCAACATGATGCGAACACACATTGTAGCACACGACTTCTATCCCTCTCGTCTACACTGTGAGGCGCGACGGCGTCATTGTGCTCGAACAACGGCTCACGATCGGCGTGAACAGCGTGTCGCCTCATATACTGGTGATGGAAGTTCGTTTGTACGGCACCTTTTTATAACCGTCGTGCTCGCTGTAGCTGTGATAAATTAATAATACTGGTTGAATACTTGCTTTGGTTGCGGTGCTTCTCTGGTATAGTGTGTTACTCTTCATGGCCCTTCTTCGTTCACTTAGAAGCTATTTTGCTTCACCATTTTGAACGTCATAACTACTGAACAGAGTATACACGCAAGTGCTCACAGCAAATATGTAGGTTTCCAAGAAAAAAGAAAAAAGAAATTCTTTGCGTATCTTTTGTACACTTTCATGGTGTAATAGGCAGAAATTGTTATACTTTTGCTTAGGTCCCTTATCTTCTCTCCGTTTTGTGCCTACGATTTGTAAGTCTCGCTCCACATTGTAATATTACATTACTTGAGATTAGGAGCAATCAGTTAGATCTCAGTTTCCTTTTAGATGCGTTGTAAATCCTTCGATTAATTTTCTGAACGTGGGGAGGTATCTTCTAAAACTGAAACAATTGCAAGCGCACTTGTGGAATGTTATAGAGGAACTGGACCGTGCATAGATTACATGAATAAGCTCAAAATCCACTATACCTTATGTACAATCGGCCGAATATTTGTTAACGGAGGGCACGAAGGTGTTCCACTTTGTGGTGATTTGGTATGGTGGGCAGTTTGTTATCATCATGGAACGAGGTTTAGTTTAGGAAAAAAAACGAATTGAGTATTATCGATAGCAATCCTCTGTTTCCAAGATAGTAGCAGTTACTGGTTGTCATCATTAGACCTACCCTCGATTTCGGAAGACGAGAAGAAAATCGAGTGCAGACCACACACCATAAGAGACGACGGCCAAGAAAAAAGCCGCTTTTTCTTGGCCGTCGTCTCTTATGATGTGTGGTCTGCACTCGACGCTCTTCTCGTCTTCCGAAATAGAGTATATGACAAATGGCATGACTACCATTTTACTGAATCAGTAGCTGTGTTAAAGGAAGTGATCGCTATGCCTGAGGGGTGGTGCGGTTTTGATGACGTCGGTGAACGTCATTGGTAGAACTGGACTCTCAGCGCGCTGGAGATGTGGTTGGGGCCACTTATTGACGCTGTGCTATTAATGATATCATCAAAATCGTACCACTCTATAACTATCGCGATCACTGCCTTTAAGCAATTTGGGTATGTATCCTTTAATGCCCAATTTTCTATTGCAAATTGAGTCATCATGAAATCGACGTGAGCGACGGTTCACTGGCGGGGGAAGGGACGACTTTTATACTCACATACACAGTTATGATATAGCATAACATTATCAATCAATGTGTCATGTTATACATATATTGCTTTCCATTACAAATCTGCATTTCATGAACACTCCGTTTACTATCGAAATCACGTAATACACTTTTTGTTTCTACAAGTATTCGGCCCGAAAGCACCTCTGGTTAGATGGACGTGAACGTGGTTTCTTGACTAAAGGGCCGAGTGTGTAATCCACCACATTGCCCTCTTTAATTTGCATAATTTCTTTAGCAGTCAGTATAAAACTAGTCGTATCCCTTAAGCTCCCGTCGATGTTGCCGATTTCCTGCCAAGGAGACTATCCTCTACACGTTTATTTCTTGCTTATTTCGTATGATCGATTTGCCATTTTAATTGTGTTCTTTGTAATCCTGATAATAATCCTGATTTCGATCACATTGCCTCTCAGTTATGATGTTTCAATTCTAAATAAAATATCAGCACCTGCCTTGTGACAGGAGAGCATTGTGTACAACAACAATATAAGTCCGTTCATAGGCGTTGCCAGACCACGGATTGAGCGATTCGCTAGCGTCCGCGATCAGCCAGTCGCGAGATTTGCTGGCCGCGACGCGACCGCGGACGCTGGCGAATCGCTCGGTCCGAAAAGTCTAACGTTCATACCAATCATTCACTTTTACGAAGAAATCGTGGGACCGGGTTGTTGTCAATCCTTGCAGTCAGTGATCACTAATTGATGGCGACCTTTTCGAGTCGTGGGAGCGTGAATGGGGGGGGGGGGAGGAAGGAGATCAGTTTCGCTTTTTTTTTCTGTGAAGAAAGTAGATCAGGGTGGATTTACTCTCTTATAATGGTTGTTTTTGTTCATCTACCAAGTAAAAA